GAAGGCAGAGATAAAAGTGTCACCACCCACCAAAACTGCATTCATTTTTTTTCCCCTTTTCAAATTGGCTTTTCCATAAAAAATGACATTTAGCAACATCATTTCTATGGCATGCCTCCATTTCAGACACTGCTTTTTTTATTCTGAAACAAAGACAGCCATCCTACCCCGTCGAGGGCGTCCTCAAAACAGTAGAGCCAGTACTCGCGGGCCAAAGCATCCTCTGTCAGGTCCATGGTATCAGGAATATAAGAGGAAGGGTCTTGCAGCAGAGGCAGATTCACCAGCTGCCTGTCCAGACGATCCATCTCCAACATGTCAAACTAGACCCAACAAAGAGACAGAGAGGGGACATGTGCTGTGTGTCTTGTCCATACCTCTGACAAAGAGATGCCTCTTTCAGCTTCTCCTCAAATGTTAAAGTTTAATCCTACTATCACTCTTCTAAATCTTTACTTTATTTTTCAATTCACTGCAACACTGTGGGAGCCAGAGAAATCATTAATAGGGGACAGAATCAACAGACCACAGCTTAAGGAGGATGCACCTAGTACTTTTTGCCAGTTCACACTAATGAAAACAGGTAATGAAAGATGGGAGGAAACAGGAATTTCAGAGGTAACAGTGATCAGCTAAGGTTAGCAATTCCTGATATTGTCTAGAGGCCTAATGCTCAAAGGCTTCAACCAAAAAAAAGACTTCACAAGGAACAAAACAGCAGCAGGATCTCCAAAGCCAAGCTACAAACCTGCTCTCAGGTCTCGTTGTGCAAACAAGCGAATGCCTGAAAAGGCTAGATATTTATACTGAGTGTTTTCAACTACAGATGAGGCAAAGTGAGCAGGAGCAATATTTCAAACTAGTGCGCACAAGTGAGGCGGGTGGAGGTACTTACAAGAAACTGAAGAAGAAGAGTGGGTAGACAGAAGAATGTATGGAGAGGAAATGAAAAGAAAGATTATCAGACTGCAAAGACTGATGAGATGCATGTCTTTATATGATGTTTATGGATTCACTGAGGACAGTGTGATGGTGTTTTCATGGAGGAGATCAAAAATAAAAGTGTAAAATAGAGCTCAAATGCAAAAATCATCAGCAATATGACAGAGTAATTTTGGAGAAATAAAAACCAATGAACCATCAATAGAGTGAAAATAGGTAATGAGGTCTGAGTTACCGCCATGAGGTGCCAACCTGTGGTACACTGCCCAGCTTTAGGTGTTCAGATCTGATCACTCTTTACTTCCTCTCCAGACTCACCGTTCCACTACGTGCACGTTGCATGGGATTCATTTCTGGAGAAACACTCATCAGGCCTGAGCTTCCAGCATAATTCTCACCCCAGCTGTACTGGTTTGGATCTAGAAGATTGAAAGACAAAACCAAAATATATTCGCAGTTAAGTGAAAAAACTTTGTATCCCCTTACTTTGAAATGGCAAAAAGAGTAAAACAAATATCAACATAATACTTAATGCACATTCAGCTAGTACAAATGTTCCTTCATCAACAGAAGTAACAAAATAGTCAGAGTGTACAAAAAGAAAGTTATAGTACAATAATGAAAACCATATCAGCACAAAGGGTTGCATCCCTCTTTATGAAATATTCTCTATTACGTTGCAGTAGTTAGTAACTGTAGCAGTTAAATGTGTGACAGACTCGGTGAAACAGGGTGTACTGTACAAGAGCCTCAGGGATTTCAGTCATACCTGCTGTGAAAACCTCATGAGGAAATTTATTTCATGCAATACTGCAAGTTACTAGTCAGCCCTAATGTGTGAAGGAGGACTTGCATGATGTGTCCGACAACAACGGGTATTAGGAGGTTTTTTTCCTTACTGTCTTCTTCTGCTCCTTTAAGAAAGGCTCCAATGGCTCCGAGATAGCCTTCATGTCTCAGGAACAAGGCCTGAACTTCACCCTACAAACCACCAGACAAAATTAGGTAAACTAATAACAAACCAAGTTCAGCACTGAACTGAGACAGAACCGTGACAAAGAGAAAACTAAAGATAAAGCACATGGAGGAACTCCTGTAGAGCACTCAGACACTGTGTAACCGACTGTGGCAGTGATGCTTGGCAAAGTTTTAGAACTAGTGGCTTCTCACCTTTGTGAAGAAGTTAATGCTATAGGTGATGGTGTGCATGGTGACAGGATGTCCTCTGATGAAGAAGCCTCCGAAGTACACTCTGGACAGGTTGTGGAGTTTGGCATACAGACAGGCCAGCTGCCCAATGTCGTTACTAATCATATGGAGTAAGCTCTTTGCCATGTCTTCTTTAGAAAACTCTACAATTCACAACAGAGTCATATAATCATATCACAAATATAAAGATGGTTAACCGATCTCTGATTATTTAGGTAATGCCATTAATGTATTATAAGGATTCTGGCAGCAATTTTTAGAAACATATTCACTAGTGGTACAACTTCATATATGTAAATAATAGAACTGCATCACGTGTGTATCATCTACAGATACAAATGAAGCTATGTAAACTAATACATCGTCATCAGCGGTAGATAAACTGTAACAGGCTTTGCTTTAATAACACAGCAAAGGCTGTGAGTTTCTCTGGAAGAATGCCATCCCTTCATTTCCTAAGAAATGCAACACATGGAGGGAACAAAGCTGCATGAGAAATGGGTGAAAGGTCATCAGTTCATTTCAACACAGCTTTTGCACCAAAACGGAAAATCGTGAAGTCTGCCTAGTGAACACAACATCATAAACAGAAAAACATATGACTGACTTCACACGTAAAGCAATACTCCAGCTTATACTTGTCAAATATGGAGCCTGCTTGGATTCACACAGATTAAAATGAGCTTCAGTAGTGGTGAGGACTGAAATAAAGTATAGTATTGTGCCATATACTGCAATTTTCCCCATCTACAGTATACCTGTTTGCAATATTCTGAGTGTGTGGATGAACAGCAAAGAAGAAAATCATACTGCAGAAGTAGTCTGAGTTTCCAGGCTGACTACAGCTGCTGCCCTGTGAAGCAAGTGAGCAAGACACACTTTCTGTAGCAACCGGTCAAGCCCAAATAAGATGGCAGATCCTCAACCAGCGGAGAGGGTAATGCTTTTGTGTTTTGCTGTCACATCAACTGAAAGAACTGCACACAAACAATTCAATATACAAAGTCTGTTATTACATTGTCTTATTACAACAACCTGTATAAGTCTACTGGGAAGCCACAAAGTCTAGGTGCCCATGCATCACCTTTATCAGCAGTAGCAGACTTCCCGAAACTGCTGGCAATAAGATCTCCTGTTAAGCCCAAAGACCTGTACGATCCTCCGTAAATATCTTTGACAAGCATATCGACATTTGTGTGCTGTCCTTTTGAGGCCAGTTGTAGCAACTCGTCAAATCTCTACAAGAGAGAAAAGAGTCAAATTCAAGAGGCCTGAGAGAGAAAATTACTGGGATGACAAACCGATTTTTAACAGTGGATGTCAAAGTAATAACTATTATAAACATAGACCAATTATTTAAGATACCTTTGTTTTGGTGAGCAAGGCTCCAAGGCCCCAGAACGTCCCTCCACCTATTGAGCTTCCTCCTATTCGCTCAAATTTGTCTTCTGATTCAACCTGTTGAAGAGGGAAGGAACGAGATATTGCTTAGTGTGTGAATCACCTACAGTAAGACTAAGAAGAACCTGGTTTCTGTAAATGTCATCTGGAAAGTTCAAAATGTGAATTACAATATAAACACATGACATGACTTTTTCGTTATAGTCAAAGATGTTTATCTTCACATTTACTGCAGAGAAGGACAAAATATAACACAATCATAGCATATAAACTACACAATAAGAACAAAGGCCAACTGATACTTGAGTTTTGAGGTCGATGACAATATATATCTAAGGAGATAAAGACATCTGTAATACTGGCTGTCAACAAGTTGTGACAAATATATGAAATGAAGGCAGGATTTTTAAAAGCCAAACAATGAAGCTACTGTCAACAGGGTGTGGCATGTTCCTCTGCCAACTCACGTGCAAGAACAGAAACTATGAAATGCTCTGCAGAGACTTGAAGATGGCACTGTTTATCATTTGACTTTTTAAATGGAATATAGTTTGTTTTAAATATTTTTTTTCCATATTGGCCAATATTTATGCTCGCACAAGTATTTCGGTGATGAGACGGACATTGATAAAACAGCTGCTGATATTTTCTTACTGATAAGGTAGGTATACTTCCAAGAGGCCTTTTCTTTAAAAACATTCTGAAATCCTTTTGGTTTTTAAAAAATATTGTTTAATGGGGCAACCACAAACAAAACTTTAATTTGTCCATTATTACCTTGACTATGGACACTCCAGAACCAATATTTACAAGCAGGTAAGGAAAGATGTCTGGATGAGTCGTTTGAAAGCGGAACTCTGGGTCCGCGTGCTTGGCGTACACAAAAGCTTCATGGGGAATGTTCCTCAGCACAAAGTTACAGCCCTTGATGAGGCAGGTCATCTCATCCTCTCTGTCCACTCTGCAACAATACAACAAATAAGTTTGAATAATTTTCAGTCAGACTGGGAGAGCAGCCATTTATCCACTGGCTGGTAAATTATTACATTTGATGTGTACTTTGTACAATGTTACTACACATTTACTTTTTTCTAGACAGAACAGCTGTCTGCAGCCATGTGCTGAAGCCACACATATGCCAAATATATACCTCCAGCTGACTTCACAGATTAGTCCCATATCAGAGCTGAATTACTAGTGTAATATTTAACTGGAAAACTGAAAAAAGAAAACACATGATGGTGCTCAATGCCAATGCATACAAAAGCCAGTCAAACATCATCAGCCTATTGTTTTTATGTGGGGTTTTTTTTGCCAAAAACTGTCTGCAAGAATTCACAAGCCAATAAACAGTAGATATTTACCATAATAGTTTATGTGTGATCTCCTAAAGCACTCTACTAAGCAATCAAATCGGTCCACTGATTCAACCTGCTTCACAGGAGGACAGGATGTGTGTGTTGGTTACATTAAGCACAGAGGAACATTGTTCATTCCAACTTCAACATCTAAAATATGCCAGAACTTTGACTCAAATTTTTATTTTTCCCATGTCCATGAAGCATCTACAGTTAAACACTGTACATTATTATTTACTATATTTATTTTACAGCTGGTTTGTGTACTTACTTGAGCCCAAGCTTCCTCTCAATGAGCTCCTTGAACTTGTGTGCCCCTCCGCCTGTGGCTTTGATAACTTTGGTTTCTGTGTTGACCAGGTGGTCTCTGATGAAATCCAAGCATGTTTCAATGTAAGCATTTTCAAATTTGATAAAGTGCAGGCGTGCAGTGACCTCTTCCTGCACAGATATTTCATAGAGCTTGTCACTGGGAGCCTCCTGAGAAACAGATGAGACCAGAACACAAAGAAAAAGGAGTGAATACTGCAATATGTCCAACTACTTACATTACTTTGCTAGTAGAAGTGGACAGTCGTGACCGTACTTTTGACAGGCTACCAGGAGATACAGGCTTTCCTCTATCCGTGCAGTTTATGCTAACACTTTGGTAGTAGGAAAAGCACGACAAAGACACCACATAAACTGATGTAAAAATATTATATATAACGTTATATATTACCTTTGTAGTGTGGTCGAAAGATCGTACTTTGGCTACTTTGTGCTGCACAGTTGAATAGTAGGCAAGCTTTGTGAGAGATCCACCTGTTAAAGCAAAACAGCATTGATAACCTCGGATAAGAAACCCGTTGTCCTGCAGAAGCTAAACACATTAAATTAACGTTAAGAACCAGACTTAAATAAACACGCACAATGGCAAGCTGTAGCGTTAGCTAAACGAAGACGACAATATTTTAACACATGCTAGCTAGCAGCTAACGTCACCACTGCTGTACTTGTCGAACTTTGACAGGTTGTTTGGCACACATTCGCTTTAAGGAGAGGAGATACATCTCCGAGGTCACCAGACTTCATTGTCCAACATGCAGACTTCTTGCCAAACAAATTAAAATTAACCACAAATTTGTACAGCTAACATTAGCTCTGTCATGTTTACTTTCCCTTAATGTCATGCGTTGTCATAGTATCAGGCTGCGGCAGAGCTAGTCCATAAACACGGAGATTAGCTACGTTCGAGCAAAAGTGGCTAGAGAAACAAAGAAAATGTTTATATTCCCACGTACCTATGTCTATTGCAAACCGCTTTGCGTTCTCCAAATTCCGGAATATTTCATCGGGCGGAAGAGTAATGCTTTTATCCATAGTATGACTACTTGTACGGCAGTCAACTCGACCACATTCCGCCATGGTCGGCGAGGCTTTGACGCTGCGCGTGTGACGTACGTGCGTACGTGCCCACAAGCTATCCAATCATCATCATGCATGCACAGTCTGAGTCTGAATGGCCTTGTAAACATTTCAGAATCACCATCAACATGTATTCTCAAAAAAAGCTAAAAAATGATGTATCTACAGTAAAAACGTTACTGGTTATCAACCCTTTTGATTACTGTCATGATGTGAGTATGACTTCCTCTTTGGTGCTTTTATTTATTTATAGGATTTTGTGTCTTGAACCACTCTTACTGTCTCAGTTTTACCTTTTCGAATGACTCGAAACCAAGGACTCGAAAGGTGTACTAATGTTTAAAAGATTCGTTCAAATGAACGAATCGTTTGTGAACGACACATCACTACTTGTCAGTTTGTCCATGCAGTAGTAGAAATAATAGTATCCTATTAATCACCTGCAGAATATCAATTGTTGATCTTTAATTTAATGTTTGTTTGTTTTTTTACTTTTCCTTCATGATTGTTGGACTAATGCTTGGCTGGATTTTATTCATTTGAATCTTGTGATTAAAAACAATGTCCAGCTATAACCACTTTGATTCTTGGCTACAGACAACAGAAAGGTAGGGAGCAGCTGTTCTGTTGTGCGTCCAGTAAGTTACTGTTGAAAAATAAAAAACAGCTGTTGCAGTGAAATGGGGACACTAAAATGTTTTAGCCTAGCTGAAATCATGAGACTTGGAGCTTTCTGAGGATGTAGCATGTCACAGCCGTGTTTGGATGTTTGTGTGCAGTACAAATGACAGTAGAGCTGAGGAGGGCTGCTGTCCCATGGGTGGGACAATTAATGCCATCTAACTGATCATTAGTAGGCTAAAGTATTAATTATAGCTCGCTTAGCCTATAAAACCTTCATAAATTGTGCCTTGTCAGAAAGTCATAGTGATAGGTATAGGTTTCATTACTGCAAATGTAGCATTCCACATTGCATTAGCATTGTCCACATTTATTGTGGACACTGGCACTTGTCTCAACTAATAGATTATCATTGTTGTCATCAATGTCATTCGTTTTGATGTTGAAAATTGAATATAAAGGGATCAAATGCCATTGTATTGAACAGCTCCATTAAGTGGGCTAATACATATTCTGTATTCTCATGTTTTCGTGTTGCAGGACACATACTAACACTAATCACTAGAGGGCAGTGCTCAGCCATAGGAGAAATGTAGAATCTTCCACTGAAAGATGCTACAATTCATGAGGGATGGCAAGATCAACAGAGGTGGAAAGTAACTAAGTACATTTACTCAAATACTGGACTTCACTACATTTCAGAGAAAAATATTGCACTTTGTACTCATTACATTTATTTGATAACTTTTAGTTACTAGTTACTAGAGGTTAATAAAATAAAATCTAAACAATTTGACTACTTCTTCTGCCACTGCCAATAAATTATGTCATGCCTGCACTGTAAATGCGCTCAGATGACAGTGGTTACTGCTGATTGTTGTCAGTGTGAAGAATAAGAATGAAACTTCAGAGCTCAAGAGTAAGTTAATTTTTTTTTATTCAAAAAGAATGAATCACATAATGTTTCTGTTCCTCAACAGAGGGTACTAGTAGTGATGATACATCACAGTAAAATCTTGTAGTTCAAGACAACAGACTAAAATAGCCTGTACAGCTTCAATATCTTTACTAAAGACAGGGCATTGTTTACTCCAAACTAAACAAGGTATTTGAGAAAAACTAACCTTCAGATCAACATTTATGCCACTGAAAAGTCAAAACATGATAACGGAACAAATTACTTCAAGACCCAATATGGGTCAGGAGTCTTTGATGATGTAAAATTATACACACAAATACCTCAGAAAATATGCACAATAAAACACCACCACAGATGACTTAAAATTTACCAACTCCTGTCAGCAAACTGGTCTTAAAACACTATAGGAATTTAAGGCAGATGTTATCTGCCTTATCTGCTGGCCAGTCTTTAAAAATCTTATTCATAAATTAATAAAAATTATATTCATGGAATATAATGTTCTTCTCAATATTTTCAGAAAGGTGAAAACATTACTTTCTTTGAAAAGATGCTTTCAAAAAGAAAGGAGATGTCAATCCAGTAGGACTTTGAGATAAATTAAAACACTTTGGACCAACATTTCTATTAAATTTCAGTATAGTCTACTACTCTTTTGACCAATGTGGTCACCTCAGTTTGTCTGGTAGTAAGTCCAGTGTGTAGGTGTCTACCACGGCCTCCAGGGGGCGATGTTGACTGGACTGTCCTTTTTGCTGATGCTCTTCTGGACTGTGGAGCTCAGAGGACAGAAGTCTGCCTCTCTCAGGTTCTTCTCAGAGGAAGACTGCAGCTTGTTGAAGTGGCTCAGCAGTCTTCTCTGAGACTGCGTCTTCACCTCCTCCTTGGACAGGAAGTGTGCCACCTCCTGGACACACCTGGAGTAGCCCTGATCCACAGCTGCTGACTCCACAGCTTGGTGCTGCTGCTGCAGCCGTCTGAGGAAGCAAACTGTCATCTCCAGAATGTCTGCTTTCTCCAGCTTGGAGTCTGGCTGCTGTTTGAGGAACTCTGGACCCAGGAGAGACTTGAGCTGCTCAATGCTGCTGCTGATTCGCTCTCTGCGTAACTTCTCCACCAGAGGCTTTCTGAGCTACAGAGAGAAGAACAAAGTCATTTATAAAACCTTTTCTGTTGTAAAGTGTGAACATGAGCACAAACAGCCTCTCATGAATAATGTTTAAGTCTCCTTGAATCTTCAGTTTACCTTGTGGGTCAGAGTCAGGTGCTCCTGAGAACTGGTCATCGCTGCAGTGATTGTAGGGGCCATGTCTGGATCTCTGTGCTGTCCAGGTCTCTGTAGAGAGAATCTGATCTCTGCTGGCTCCATCCCTCCTATTTATAGTCCCACATCTCCATATGAATGTGTGGGTCTTGGTCTAGTTGGACTTTCTCACAGTCTCAGCCAATCAGAGAGCTCAATGAGACAATAAGGGATGCAACACACTGAATGTGGTATTGCCTGGGGGATAATAGTCAGGGGAACAGGTGGAGGACTGGGGGTGATAGAGAGAGACTCACAGAGCCCTGTGTGAATCTGGGAAAGTGGTGACCCTGTAAAGAGTAGATCTGACGCTGAGATCATTGACTTTGATTGAGCACACGCTCATCATCCCATCACACACGTGTGGAAGAACGACATTTATGCCATAGGATTTTTCTCAAACTGAACACGTACTGTAAGTTGAACACCATGCAATACATTAAAACTATTCCTCTTGTTTGTTTAGTATCTTTTTTCCCAGGTGATAATCACACTAAATTTGGTTGAGATGATAATCATACAAAATTTCAGCACAGTAGTATCTGACCATGGAAAATACACATTTGTTTAAGCAGAACTGTCCTTATCATCAGCTGGATCAAGATGTTTGATCATGTTTCAAACTAAAGTTTCTTGTAGCTTTTACAAAACAACTTTAACTTCAAATTTCTTATTGCACCATAACTGATCAATTCAGGAATGCTCTCTCTTTCATCCTTCCTGTCATAATAAGCTGCACGGAATGCAAAGGAACAATTTGAATGTGTGTGTGTGTGTGTGTTCATTAATCCTTAGCGTGTCCTCATTCTTTATGGACATTTTACAAAAGCCTCGTAATGACGAGCCTTGATGACAGGAATTTCCATTCAGAAGCAGCAAGACAGAACTCGTAAACTGACTCCATAATTAATGTGATGCAAGCAGACACACTTCTTTTGTTCTTGAAGGCAGTGAATGGACGGAGTGTGGGAAACCAGAGAAAACCCACTCACAGAGCCCCCGAGGGACAATGGAGGCAGAGCAGACAAAGACGTCTGTGAAGGGAAAGGAGGAATTCTTTGCTACTGAGGTTTCAATGTTTAGATGCTTCACTCACTAAAGATGACATACTTAAATAATATTTGATTTTTGGGGGGTTTCCAAAAAATTGTAAATTACATGGCTATTTAAATAGAGGCGCCATATTTGTTGCTAAAAATGTATTAAAATATGGTGGTGCATATAATCAAATCTATTTGATTTATTAAATTTATAGCTCTAGAGTGTTATAGTTATTATTGTTTTAAATGTTGAAACACATTTAAACCAAAAACAACCTTGATTCTCTTAAAAAAGAAAACGGTTACACTTTACTTTAAAGCCCCTATTTGATATTCATACACAATATGTTAAATACTGTATTTGTTGAAGATTTCATAATTTATTTGGATGGTTTTACCTGCAGCAGTGCATCATATTCTCTAAGACATCATATATATTGAGTCCTGTTGTCCTGTGAGAACTACATATCTCTAAGAGCCAACTTGTCATGATTAATAAAAAGCCACCTTTTCAGCAATGTGAATTCAATGTTTTTTGACCTAAGACGCAGAAGAATTTTCTCCACGCTTAAAGGAACACTTAAATCTTCAGTTCATCAGAAAAGTGCTATTTCAAAGTCACCAAATTTAGAGATTATGGATTTCACTGAACAACAAAAATGTAATTTGAAAAGCAACTGGTACTGTGCTATGCTATAGCTGTCAAACCATTTTAGTGGAGTAAGAAGTACAATATTCACCTCTGAAATGTACTGTAGACACATTTGCATAAAATAGATATGAAGTACCTCTGCTGTGTACTGTATTTTAAGTAAGTATAGTATTTGATTATATAGTTTCATTCCACCACTGTAAGTTTTCTTAGTGCATTGTATTATAACTCTGATTCTGTGTATACCCATGAAGTTGATAAAGAAATACTGAATGGCAATATAGTAAAACAGGTATAATAACATTTAATAATTGTGAAAAAGTTATAATTGTTGACAAATAATGCACCTTAAGAAACTTGCTTACTATTACATTGTGTTGTAAACCATTGTTAGTGATTATAAGTGCTACATGGAGTTTAAAGTGAAGACTTATCAAAAATACATATTTTAAAGTTCAATTTATAAATTCGGCACCAAACACGCTTGGTTGATTAGTTGTTGGATTAAATCTGCCGTTGAACTATTTGTGTTTCTCCCTCTGACTCCAGTCTGCTAATAGAGGAGAGTGTCTAAACACAGCGTACCCTTGGGGAGAGGTGGCGGCGCTTGTGCGCGGATGAATTAGCATTTAAAAAGGCACATGTCTATTGTTGATTTGGAGCTCTGTGAAAGGAGAGAGTGTGGGAAAGTCATGAGAGCACTGTCACAGTTCACCTCACATCTTCAATGCCACCAGCACTTCACTATTGGTGCATTTCACAGAAGCCATTTTTCGCTCCTTACTCCCTTTTACTGTATCTATATTTATTTCACTGTGTGTCTCTCTGGTGTCAACTCTAACCTCTGCCTGCTTCATTTCCGCTTTAATTAACGAGTCATCATTTCAATCTAAGCCTTTTTCTGTTTCTTTCATTGACTGATGCCAAACTGTCAAGGCAATGTCACCCTTACAACAAGGGTTATAAAGACGTTTGTTGCTGATATACACATACTTTTGTAAAAATGGCATGTCTTTTAGGAAACTTTTAAATAAACGGACAAAGATCTCATTGTAGGGAGGTAATGAACAGACAAAAGAGAGGGAAGAACATTTCGTTAAACCTGTTTTAGAACTAAACAAAATGGGACTTTTGTATTTCTTATTTAATAATTACCTGTAACCAATTTTACATTCTAATCCTCATTCACTGCTGGAAAAACACTGTTGAGGTAAATAATAAGGTATTTTAATGAAAGTCAGCATTCTTAAAATACTCAACCACTGTCTTGCTTTCCCTCCAGACGGTTAGTGCCATCAGGTCCTGTCCCCTCAGCACCTCTGTGCCAATAGCTCTCAGTCGATGCATTCAAACTCCTATTGTACTGGACCAGTCACAGTTAATAGGATTCACCATCAAAACATTGGGACACTTCACTAACAAGAAGAACCTGTCACAACACAGCACGCATATCTGATTTATGGGGCTCAGATGAGTTATACACAACTGATATATGCACTAGTTAAAAAATAAGTTTCCCTATCATGATATTTAATTTCAAATGAATATATGATCATTTATCCAATAGCACAAATTTTTAATGTTGTCATTCTGCCACGTGTGTGATGGGATGATGAGCGTGTGCTCAGTCAGAGTCATTGATCCCAGCTTCAGGCAGCATATCTGTTCTCTACAGGGTCACCACTTTCCCAGATTCACACAGAGCTCTGTGAGTCTCTCTCTATCACCCCCAGTCCTCCACCTGTTCCCCTGAGATCTAACCATTGTCCCTGGGGTAATAACACCATTCACCGTGTTGCTGCTCCACATGCCGTATTGTCTCATCAAGCTCTCTGATTGGCTGAGACTGTGAGAAAGTCCAACTAGACCAAGACCCACACATTCATATGGAGATGTGGGACTATAAATAGGAGGGATAGAGCCAGCAGAGATCAGATTCTCTCTACAGAGACCTGGACAGCACAGAGATCCAGACATGGCCCCTACAATCACTGCAGCAATGACCAGTTCTCAGGAGCACCTGACTCTGACCCACAAGGTAAACTGAAGATTCAAGGAGACTTAAACATTATTCATGAGAGGCTGTTTGTGCTCATGTTCACACTTTACAACAGAAAAGGTTTTATAAATGACTTTGTTCTTCTCTCTGTAGCTCAGAAAGCCTCTGGTGGAGAAGTTACGCAGAGAGCGAATCAACAGCAGCATTGAGCAGCTCAAGTCTCTCCTGGGTCCAGAGTTCCTCAAACAGCAGCCAGACTCCAAGCTGGAGAAAGCAGACATCCTGGAGATGACAGTTTGCTTCCTCAGACGGCTGCAGCAGCAGCACCAAGCTGTGGAGTCAGCAGCTGTGGATCAGGGCTACTCCAGGTGTGGCCAGGAGGTGGCACACTTCCTGTCCAAGGAGGAGGTGAAGACGCAGTCTCAGAGAAGACTGCTGAGCCACTTCAACAAGCTGCAGTCTTCCTCTGAGAAGAACCTGAGAGAGGCAGACTTCTGTCCTCTGAGCTCCACAGTCCAGACAAGCATCAGCAAAGAGGAGAGTCCAGTCAACATCGCCCCCTGGAGGCCGTGGTAGACACCTACACACTGGACTTACTACCAGACAAACTGAGGTGACCACATTGGTCAAAGATCACTGAAATGGTTTCTTTGAAATGTCATAGACTTGTTCTTCTGTATGAACAGAAGGTTGTGTGTTGTGTTTTTTCCAACATGACATTTCTTAAAGAAATGATAAAAACAATATCTTTCAAGTTAAGAAAGAGAATATTTTGTCATGCATGTTGCATGAATCAACTGATTGCATCAGCAATTATTATTAAACCGCACTGTACTTCATGCACTCTGGTAGTGTTATAATGCTATGGTAACGTGTGTTACCTCTTGACTGGTACTGATCATTGTGATCAAATGTTTTAAATGACTTCACTAAGGGCTTGTATAAAAGTGAAACTCTCTAACATTGTACAAATGCCTGGACTTGTAATCGTTCTTATAGTCATCTTATTTTGATGCGTTACTGCAATTTTTCATTGTTATTGTCTTTTTTTAAAGGTTAAATTCTGTTTCTATGATACATTCTGTGATATATTACAGAATTAGTCTTCAATTCAGGTGTTACTTTGTGAAGTAGCTATTACTTTTCTCAGTGGGAATTTCCCTGATGTTGCTGGTAACACTGACATGTAGGAGGCACAATTATGCTGAAGATGTTTCAGATTTTGATGTGATATTCACATGCTCCACTGATTGATTGTTGGCATCAAGACAAATGTGCTGATTTATTACTCTGTGAGTGACAGCACCCATACCTTCAATGAAGGGCTTATTGTTTGGAAAATCTCTCAAAATGAATGTATCTCTTCAAGCCAAGTGATGCGAATTAAAACAATCAGAAAAAAAATTTTTGTTCTGTAATTTTTATCATGTTTTTAGCACTGATCTTGATTCAATTTACTAATAGGAAAACATAAACAGCATGTACTGGACAGCTCTCTCAGTAACGGCATCTTCTGATAAAACCGAGCAGCAAAATGCTACAGTTGCATCTCCACATTTGGTCAAAGAGAAATTTGTTGCACAATTACTCCACATCTTGAAACAATGTCACACACATACTGGATGTTGGTCAGTACACAGGACTGTCAGAGCTACTGGCTGAACCCTTTAGCTGTGAGCTTCTGGGTGACATCATGTCTACAGTTATCTATAATTAATGCCAACTGTGGTGCTGCATACTGCAGCTTAAAGAGTTGAGGCGCTGGGCCTTCACAAGCTTCCAGAGGTGCTTATTCAACATGTGTATAGTTTTGTACTGGTGGGAGGAAACACAATTATTCTAAAAGATATTTCTTATCTTGATGTTTTGATGATCACTAACACATCACTGTCCTGGGTGCTCAGAGATCTGTTGGATGCAAAGGCCACAGAGTGTGATTCATATAACCTTCATACTCATCCAACCATTCTTGGAGCCCTTGTGCCCTTTACTAAGGTATTTGTTTGTCCACATTGTCAAGTGAAGTCAAGTTAATTTATTTATAAGCACATTTTTTTTAAAATTGACCCAAAGTGCTGTACAACAATAAAATAAATAAGAAAAATAAAAATAACAAGCAAGTCTTCATACATACATAAAAACAGAAATAAAAAGATTATCTCAAGGTTTAAAAGGTTTAAAAGCCAGGAAGAAAATTTTTTATTTGAGACAGTGAAGGGGCAGCGCTAACATGCAGGGGTAAAGTTTTTCACAGTTTTGGGGCCATGACCACAAAGGCACAGTCCCCTTTGAGCTTTAGTCTAGCTCTGGGATTGACTGAGAGCATGTGGTCCGAGGACCAAAGTGGCCTAGACGGTGTCTAGGGATGTAGAGGCTCAGAGAGAGAAGATGGTGCTGACCCACTGAGCGATTTAAAAACAAATGTTAAAGCCTTAAAACGAGTTGTATTGGACTGGAAGCCAGTGAAGCGCCATCAGGAGAGATATGGTCGTGCTTATGAGCGCCTGTCAAGTCAAGATGAAGACGAGAGAGTGAGGACTGGCTTATAGCTGTATATAATGCGTTACAACTTTGTTCAGATCTGTCACCTGCCTGAGCGTGTGTCATGGTGGCAGTAGTCCTGTACATGATGTTTAAAGAGGATTCAATATGAACTGGAAAAAGCCCATCTGTTGAAGATATAACTGACTTGACTAAGTTCTGAATCCATTCATTCATAAGCTTTGGTAGAAAAGAAATATTACTGTTATTCCCCAAAATAAATTTAAAATTGGAGACATGAGGAAAGTTGCATTTTTATTTTCTTCAAATAAGCAAAAACACTGGAACAAATTAAATCCACTTTGGATGAATAAAAATTAAACAGATGGATAAAACAAAATATGCATACATGGCATACACAAAACAAGAACAAATCCCTTTTCAGAAGAAAAGTTGGTGTTTAAGAATATACAGCAATTCCTTGAACCAAGGCAGTTTGCAAACTGTAATAACACAATATCAGCCTATACAACATTTTCAAAGGAATAATATGTTAACATTGTATTTTGGCTTCAAATGTTAAAAACCGAGTAACAAATAAAAGCATTTAAAACATTTTGGTCCTACATTTTTAAACATCATGAACTAATCCCTGCATAGTTAGGTCTGGGTTTCTCTTTGGTGGCCTCGTCCAAAGATGGACGCCAACCACTAGAATCAGAAATCCCAAACACAGCAGCACGACATGTTTAAACAGACTTCAGTTCAGTAAGTGACCCCGTCACTCACCTCCAAACCCAGTTTTAGTCCTCTGGCTGTGGTTAAGGTTTGAAAGAATCCATATCATATGAGGTGGGTAAAGGTTTCTTGAATTCTTCTGTAAAATAGCCTGGCCATATTACAGTAGTCTCTGAAAAATCCCTCTGACATAATGCAAGCGGTGCATTTCTTTAGAACTACCACAAAGAGATGCTGTGCATCAGTACAACATGTTGTAGTTCACAGATCAAGGAACTACAACTACTTTAATGCAAATTCTTTTTGTAGTTCATTCCTGGTCCTTATTAAAAGCACAGTGGTGTCACGTCATCCTCTGCATCAGGAAACAGGCGTAAAATGTCCCTTGAATATTTGGAGTAGCCGGTATGTGACAGCAGAGCTTTTCTCAAGGTGAGGAAGGACTTTGTCTTCTCCAGGATGTCCGAAACAGGAATCCCATTCTGCAGGTGTTCCTCAATCAGAGCCTTGATCTTCTCCACTCCAGTGCAACATTTCCTCTCCAACATGTGGAGTTTACACCTGAGAGAAACAAAGTTATATTAATACAGTCATCTGTTTAGTAAGAACAACAGGAATAAAACAACCTGATGAATGAAATGAAAACTCTCTTTGGCTTACCTAAAGAGCTGCTCCTTCACGCTATCCTGGAGAGTGAGGTCCACATACAAAGCCATTTTCAGGTTTGTTTCTTGTGCTCGTAAGCTCAGCCGTCGCTTGCGAAGATTCCAAGGTTGTCTCTGCAAACAGCTGCCTCTCTGCTCTGCATTTATGCTGCTCATCCTGCGCTCTCTCTGCCTTTTAGCCAATCATGAGCCTCCGAGCTCTAGACAATGGAATGAATTTAATGGCTGTCACACAGAACAGGTGGGATGCTTAAATATGGATGTCACACACCAGTGAGATGAGTGGGAAAGTGTTTTCCCATAGGTTGACACGGGAAAATTTGGTTTCTACTGTTATGTTTAGATCTGAACAGAGATCAGTTTAACATAACAAATACACTTCAATGATAATAAAATAAAGCAAAATATTGGATAACTGATTAAACTGCATCAGCAAATACTAATATTGTTGTAAAAGTAAATAAAATAGAACTTGGGCAAAGATTCTGACATGAGTTAAAACACTGATGCCAGAAACGGAATGGTGTAAGATAAATTATAAATAAAGATACCATTACTTTTTTTATTTCTTTCTTGAGATAAATGTAGAGCTCACCTTTGTTTAACAAAAAAATGTAATTAAATTTTACATTTAATGTTTTTAAAGTTAAATTTTCTCACTCTGTGTCTCTCAGCTGCGAGTTACAGCTAAGCCAGATGGTTTATTTGTGAAGGCACCTTCTGTCCTTTCGCTGCTTGAGAACAGTCCTGAGGCTTTGAGAGAGCAGACACACTTCTATTGTGTGTGTGGCCGAGCAGGCTGCATACAGAAGTGTGGAAACTGTGTGTTGCTGTGGCTCCCAGCACCAGAGAGAGAGGAGGGCGTGTGACCGGGGCACGTCCAGCCTTGTTCAGGGAGCTGTGGGGGCTTAGAGGAGGGGAACTGGGAAACCTGAGCCCCTCCGTGCATAGCAGAGAACCACACAGGCAGATGGAGAGAGGTAGGAAGGAAAAACACCTAAGCCTTGTTCAGTTTCCAATTGTCTTAGTGCGCTCACAGAAAATTAGGAGCAAAAAACACATTTCTCAAAGACAAGAAACAAGCATATTGTTGACAGCTGACAAAAAAAAAAACCTAAAAGGGGAATGGTTTTGCATGCAGTGACCACAAACACATGCTCTCTCCTTATTCTTCCTAAATCATTCGTCGTCTCATGTTTTGTGTTTTGCTAGTTGAAAACACATTGCACCTGTTGTAACTTTCATTTGCACCAAAGTAGGTGAAACTGATTCACAATCACTTGCTTCCTAAAAGGACAGATTGATATCCATGAGGTTTGACCGGCTCAGTGTTATACTGTGATGATCAAGTGTTCCCTTCATTTTTTCAGCAATGTTTTTATGACTGCCAGAAGCAGTGTTTGGATAGCGTCCTGTGATTAAAGCAGAGACCTAACAGACATAAGCCATGATGTTCTGCTACGGAATGATGATGCACAGTTTTGTGAATCATTTTTAACCTTGAGAATATTAAGTTTCACAGATTCCTAATGTATGTGACTAACAATGTTTTTGGATCTTCCTTTTCAAACTTAATTTTTATAACTAGAGTAAACATGAAAGCAGTCACACACTCTCCTTGCACCTGTCGTTATAACTTTCTATCATTTGTGTAAATGAGGCAAAAGTTTATCCTGGTTATAACAGGTTTATTAAGGGATGAGGACTTTCTTGTAATTACAAATGGATTGCAATCCATTTGCAAACTGTAATAGCGTGTCCTTCACAATCAGATGTGCAAGGTGAATCAAGTAGTAGAACTTTTATTCTAATATGACAATGGAACTGAAAAAAAGTACATTCTCCATTAAGAGTTTGCACAATAAGTAACACAAGACAACAAAATGTACAAATAGCAGTGTTTGTTTATTTTACAAAGCACCAATGAGCCATATGAATTATAATGACTGGTGATGATACATCACAATGGCAACTTGTAGATTTCTGACAGACACACTCAGAGAGACTAAAGGAACAACTGTCTTTATGAAAGAGAAAATAAATTGCTCAGAAATATCATTTTCAAACAAGTCAATAATTTGCTCTTAATTAAGGAAGCAGGACAGTAAAACTGCCCTTAAAACAGAGCAGAATGTTATTGCATTGTATGAAAACAAATGCGTTTCAAAGAGAATAGTCAATAGAAAATTGTGACTGTGATATGTAAACTTTTATATGCAAAATAGATCAACATTTTGAGCTTAGACCAAATCTGGTCTAAGCTAATCACAGAGTAAATGCATAAAAATCACAGAAAGCTGAATGACACAATAACATTGCTTTCTGCCAGTATGTCAAGTACAGTCAGTTATGATAATAATTGCTAATACAATCAGATTTAATTCACGCAACATACATGACAAGGTGTACTCATTCTTAAGGAAACTCTGATATTACGTAAAGCTTTGAGAAAAAGCATAAACATCTGGATCTTACAACAGATCAGTTTGACTAATCAGAAAGATTAAAGTGAAGTCATTGACATTTAAAACATTTGATCACAATGATCAGTACCAGTCAAGACGTAACACATGTTAGCATAACATTATAACACTACCAGAGTGCATGAAGGTTTAATAATAATTGCAGATCAGTTTTCAGTGATCACATAACATGAGGAAAAGTCCAATTTGACAAAATGTGAATCAAAACATAAGTAAGGTCTTTGATCAAAATGATCAATTTCTATAAACAGCATTTGCATTATATTTTATCAATACATGTTGCAAACCGAAGCATAAAAGTGTCACAAGAAAATTGTGAAATTAAAGAAAACTTTTAGAAAAAAGTATAAACAATTGAATCTTACAACAGATCAGTTTTGACTAATCAGAAAGATTAAAGTGAAGTCATATGACATTTAAAACATTTGATCACAATGATCAGTACCAGTCAAGAGGTAACACACGTTACCATAGCATTATAACACTACCAGAGTGCATGAAGTACAGTGCGGTTTAATAATAATTGCTGATGCAATCAGTTGATTCATGCAACATGCATGACAAAATATTTTCTTTCTTAACTTGAAAGATATTTTTATCCTTTCTTTAAGAAATGTCATGTTGGAATAAACACAACACACAACCTTCTGTTCATACAGAAGAACAAGTCTGTGACATTTCAAAAAAACCATTTCAGTGATCTTTGACCAATGTGGTCACCTCAGTTTGTCTGGTAGTAAGTCCAGTGTGTAGGTGTCTACCACGGCCTCCAGGGGGCGATGTTGACTGGACTCCCCTCTTTGCTGATGCTCTTCTGGACTGTGGAGCTCAGAGGACAGAAGTCTGCCTCTCTCAGGTTCTTCTCAGAGGAAGACTGCAGCTTGTTGAAGTCGCTCAGCAGTAATGTCTGCTGTTGGTTCTGCTGCTGCAGCTGTGTCAGGAAACAAACTGTCATCTCCAGGATGTCTGCTTTCTCCAGCTTGGAGTCTGGCTGCTGTTTGAGGAACTCTGGACCCAGGAGAGACTTGAGCTGCTCAATGCTGCTGCTGATTCGCTCTCTGCGTAACTTCTCCACCAGAGGCTTTCTGAGCTACAGAGAGAAGAACAAAGTCATTTATAAAACCTTTTCTGTTGTAAAGTGTGAACATGAGCACAAACAGCCTCTCATGAATAATGTTTAAGTCTCCTTGAATCTTCAGTTTACCTTGTGGGTCAGAGTCAGGTGCTCCTGAGAACTGGTCATTGCTGCAGTGATTGTAGGGGCCATGTCTGGATCTCTGTGCTGTCCAGGTCTCTGTAGAGAGAATCTGATCTCTGCTGGCTCCATCCCTCCTATTTATAGTCCCACATCTCCATATGAATGTGTGGGTCTTGGTCTAGTTGGACTTTCTCACAGTCTCAGCCAATCAGAGAGCTTGATGAGACAATACGGCATGTGGAGCAGCAACGCGGTGAATTGTGCTACATTGCCCCAGGGACAATGGTTAGATCTCAGGGGAACAGGTGGAGGACTGGGGGTGATAGAGAGAGAGACTCACAGAGCTCTGTGTGAATCTGGGAAAGTGGTGACCCTGTAGAGAACAGATATGCTGCCTGAAGCTGGGATCAATGACTCTGACTGAGCACACGCTCATCATCCCATTATACATAGTGACTGTAATATAAGAATCACAACACATTTAGGACAAAAATAAATACTCAAAATAAGTTGAAAGCTTTTAAGACTTCTTGGTGAAATTAATCCATTCTGAATTAATAATTAAGATATATTTAAGTATGATTCCATTTATACACTTTTGGTCTTTTTTTAAATAAAGATAACTTTATGTTTCGATACAGTGCTACAATGCAGAGAGATCTATGCAAGAACAGGCTTAATGATTAATTAGATGGAACATTGTGGGTGTGGTGTATGAATGTTAACACTTTGTAATAATTCTTTAGTATATTACTTGTGTGGTGTAGAAGAGAATTATTTATGTAGAGATACTGCTTGCAAACCAATGATGGTAAGATGATGTCATGGGGTAGGACTGGATAAGTCTGACTTCTTCCTACTCCATTCAAGCATGTACTAGGTATAAGCAAATTGATATTGGATTAGCATTTGTTGGATATGTGTAAAATTATGTGTGTTGACATATCATCTGTCTTTACATGCTTGAAAGAATAAATCAAAATCAAAATCAAATCAAATCCACAGTTCACATTTTTGGCATTAAAAATAAATATAATACAATAAACCTGTTGCAGCAGAGTCTTTTGACACGTGCCTTGTCATCACTGTGAGGAACATGTTGATCCCAGGTTCCCACACTGACTCCCTGTGCTGTGATCAGTGAACCGCAAAGGAACTTGTGTGACAGATGCTAGCTGTGTGTTGTCATAGAAACACAGGCTGACATCACCGGCCATCTGGAGGGAAACAGTCCCATTGGCTGTCAGTTTGTAGAATTTAAAATTTGGTGAAAAAATCAAGTATCACCACATTGACACTTCTCACTGTTCTGATCATTGTCATATATTTTGATCATCCTGTCATAGTCATGCTCATTGCTTAACATCAGCTGGGGCGACCCTGCAGTTCTGTGCATGAGGGTGGGAGGTTTCCTTTGGGCAGCAGTTTCCTGAAGTGTGCCAAATCCCTTTGGAGAATTACTTGGCTGCTGGTGGAGTGGATGTCATTCACCCTCAGCTCTGTTCTCTAGAACCTTCCCATACTCTGTTCATTAGCAAAGAGTCGACGTATGCCCCTCTACAAATGGGCTTTATGAAGCTTCTGCATACAGTATTGGCTCTACACAAATATTAACTCATTAACATGAAGAGGTTGTACTTGAGTAGTATATTGAAATTAAGATTTATTAAGTCACATTTTAGACACAGGCTGATTTTCTACTTTCATATTCTTTATGAAATTATGCAAATGTGTCCACTGAGTTTATAATGCATATACAAGATATACCAGAAAGTGCAAACTGGAAACATAAGTGAAGCCATTGCCTCAGAGGATAACCGCTAACAACCTGCCAGCTCATTTCTTACATTCCCAAACACTGGCTCTGTTGCTGTTTGCTGGGACAATCTAAAACGTTACCCTGTCTAATTACACAAAATGTGCTTTGAAACAAGTTCCAAACTTTAAAGCCAAAGTCTCTTTCAGCCTGTGTCTCTTCAGGTCAAAGGTCTGGCTCTATTGTCCCACAGGGCTCTGTGAATGAGTTTCCTCTGGTTTCCCATACTCTGTCCTTTCACTGGATGAACAATAGACGTGTGCCTCAATATACATCACATTAGATACACTGTGTGACCTCTTTAACAAAAGAAATAGGTTAACTCCCATCTTTTACATTAGAACATTTACAGCTTTCTCAAATGGATGTTGCAGAATTTTTTTTTCTTTTGATATTGTTGAAATGTCCATTATCTGATTTGGTTTCATCATTTACTGCCTGGATGTAAACACAGTGGCCTAACTTCATCAAACATCATACAGTAATAAAACCACATTAAATTAGACTCTGCTTAAATGTTCAGAAGGCTAAAGATTTCAAGTTACTCCATGAGCTAATTTCAATAATGCCTATCATCAAATTCACTGAAGAGACCAATGTGATTTATCCATCCATCCATTATCTATACCGCTTATCCTGAATAAGGTCATGGGGAGGGGGGGATGAAGCCAATCCCAGCTGACAATGGGTGAGAGGCGGGGTCCACCCTGGACAGGTCACCAGTTTATCAAAGGACTGAAATGTAGACAAACAGCCACACACACTCACACTCACTCTAATGGGCAATTTAGAGTCACCAACCAACCTAAGCTGCATGTCCCTGGACTGTGGGAGGAAGCCGGAGTACCCGGAGAGAACCCACATGGGCCAAAATTATTTAAGTGAGAGGAAATCAATAAAGTAAACATGGAAAGTCCCTTGTTTATCATTATATACAGGATAGCTTTAAAGGAAGTGACAGGAAAACCACATTTTCTGCTGGTACTATCTTTTATTTAACAAGACACAGTGAGCCACAGGACATTTGAAATCCTCAACATGATATGATGATACATCACAACAACAACTTTTAGCTTCCTACAAGACAAAGTACTCAGAGATAGTAAAGGAGCAGCTGTCTTTATAAAAGACTAACTTGTTACAGTTCTCACTATACTGATTTTTTCAGATGAAAAGTTTTCACTTTATGAACAAAAGCAGCAATAACAACACCTGACCTTACAACAGATCATGTTGTTATTAAAAACCACAAACTTCAATTGGTTTAAAAATGTAAAAAAAAAAAAAAAACATTTCACAGAGTTGTCTACCTTATGTACACCAAAGGTTACTGCATTCCTCTTTTGTACGATTACAAATCAATTCACAGAAAATATCTGATTCAGTGTTGTCAAAAGAGCATCACAGTTTTAGTGTCACTAGTAGAAGCAGCTGGAGCGTTTGTGATTCTGAAATATTGCTGCACGTTTGAGTCTGTGCTTACAAGTCGTGAAGGACATCAGTCAACAGTTCACTGCAGAAAGGCACACACTCAAATTTACCAAACCCATTCAACTGTCTCAGCAAACATTGTGTTGCAGCTTAGTTACACAAGTACTGTAATGCAAAACAGTAATAATGAATAATGGCAACCGCCTGTGCTTGTGTACAGACTTGAAGGATAAAGTTGGGCATATTTCTATTAAATTTCAGTATAGTCTACTACTCTTTTGACCAATGTGGTCACCTCAGTTTGTCTGGTAGTAAGTCCAGTGTGTAGGTGTCTACCACGGCCTCCAGGGGGCGATGTTGACTGGACTGTCCTTTTTGCTGATGCTGGTCTGGACTGTGGAGCTCAGAGGACAGAAGTCTGCCTCTCTCAGGTTCTTCTCAGAGGAAGACTGCAGCTTGTTGAAGTGGCTCAGCAGTCTTCTCTGAGACTGCGTCTTCACCTCCTCCTTGGACAGGAAGTGTGCCACCTCCTGGACACACCTGGAGTAGCCCTGATCCACAGCTGCTGACTCCACAGCTTGGTGCTGCTGCTGCAGCCGTCTGAGGAAGCAAACTGTCATCTCCAGGATGTCTGCTTTCTCCAGCTTGGAGTCTGGCTGCTGTTTGAGGAACTCTGGACCCAGGAGAGACTTGAGCTGCTCAATGCTGCTGTTGATTCGCTCTCTGCGTAACTTCTCCACCAGAGGCTTTCTGAGCTACAGAGAGAAGAACAAAGTCATTTATAAAACCTTTTCTGTTGTAAAGTGTGAACATGAGCACAAACAGCCTCTCATGCATGATGTTTAAGTCTCCTTGAATCTTCAGTTTACCTTGTGGGTCAGAGTCAGGTGCTCCTGAGAACTGGTCATCGCTGCAGTGATTGTAGGGGCCATGTCTGGATCTCTGTGCTGTCCAGGTCTCTGTAGAGAGAATCTGATCTCTGCTGGCTCCATCCCTCCTATTTATAGTCCCACATCTCCATATGAATGTGTGGGTCTTGGTCTAGTTGGACTTTCTCACAGTCTCAGCCAATCAGAGAGCTCAGTGAGACAATACGGCATGTGGAGCAGTAACACGGTGAATTGTGCTACATTGCCCCAGGGACAATGGTTAGATCTCAGGGGAACAGATGGAGGACTGGGGGTGATGGAGAGAGAGACTCACAGAGCTCTGTGTGAATCTGGGAAAGTGGTGACCCTGTAGAGAACAAATCTGATGCTGAGATCAATGAGTTTGACTGAGCACACACTCATCATCCCATCACACATGTGAAACAGTTAGATTTTTTACTGTCTATGTATTTTGGTGAAATTCTCCACCACATGCAACACTAATCAAAAATATCTTCTGCTGTTATATAAGTATCATTGTGATTGCAAAGTTGTACTGTGTGCAATTTACCAAATTCTCAACTTTATTTTGAAATCCAAATAAGGTAACAATGAGGTCAGTGCTGCAACGTTCTTGCAACCAATACTAGATGTCAGTGTTATTTTTCTTAGTATATTTAAAGTGACACACAGTCTTCCTGGTGTCCAGATGTGGCAGGTGCGTCCTCTGTCCTGTGGCTGGCAGTTTCTCACACTGAGTCTTTCAATGATGTAGTCAGTGCCCTACAAAAAACTTCAAAAGGAGCTTTTGTGATGAATGCTGGTCCTGCGTTGTAGTAGAGACAGAGTCTGACGTCACGGACCATCTGGAGGGAATGGATTCCTTTGGTTTCCCCTAAGATGGTTTTGAAAAAATATAATTAAACCATATTTAATCCCAGTAATTAAACTACATTTTTATTACTTTTTTTCTTGTCACTGTAGAAAAATAAGCAAAATCCAGTCATTAACTAGTTAAAAGTTACAGCTCTTTATTGGGAGTGGGAGGGTGGACAGCTGGTTGCTGAAGTGTGCCAAATCCCCCTGGACAATAGTCGACTGCTGGTGGGGTTAAGGATCAAAATCAAACTGAGCTGTGACTCAGTTTCCTGAGCTTTCTCACACTCTGCCCATTAACCGAATGTTTTTCTGCATGTGTGCCAGGAGTGCCTTTGGTAAGGCTAAATGGGTTTTGATGACGCAAACCGATCAGTTTTCTGCTTTAACTCTGTTACTGATCTAAGACTCCGTTCTGAATTACAGAAAATGCCAGAAACTTGAACATGTTAGTTCCATGTGTTATGTTTGTAATTGTGAGCTACTATTCATTATGTTAAACAAAAACATACTTTTCTATGTGATCAATGTCATATTTTTGCCTCCTGCTGTACTAAAACCCTAACCCACTCTGATGCGTTTATTTCTTTCCCTCTGTGGCCACTGTTGTTAAAATCCACACTGCACTTCTTCCAGCCCCCGCTGATCAGAGGTTATAAGAGGCGTTTTTCAAACCAATATGGTTTATTTAAAAGACAGACCGTGGAGGCGCCCTGTGCAGGTACAACCCAGGATGGGAGCAGACCTTTTAGATCCAAGAGGTCGTGTCCTGTAGCACAGAAAAGGTGCAACTAAGAACAAGGTAAAACCAGGGTTAACACCAGTTTGGCATGTCAGAGATGTAGAGCACTAACATCATCAAAGGGACTAAAATCTGAGGCAGACGCAGCTTTCTTCCTGCTAGATGCATAAGTACTGTATCTGACTAACATGTACATGTCAGCATCATTAGCACGCTAATGTTAGCATTTCAGTTTTATATCCTTGTGTTTATTCTGGTTGGTAATTTGAAATCATTCCAACTGACTTCAACGTTAATTTTTTGCTTTCCAATTAGCAGAAACTAGCGCGTTTTCCTGTATTAATAAATAAAGCCATTTTGCTCAGTTTGCTGTTTTTTTCTAGGTTTTGGTAAAGGCCACATGTTAGTTTATGTTTGATATAACACTGCAGTCCATGTAGCATTTTAGTGAGAAGTTGTTCAAATTTACAACAAAGCTAGAAAAGTGGGGCGTTTGTTCAACTTCAAGGGTTACCTTATAATATTATGTGGGTCAAGCATGTAACACTGAACGCTATGAGATAGTGGCTGGAATATTAGTACTGTACCAGTATTAGTGGGAAAAATATTCCTCTGTATAATTTGCTTATGTTACTGCAGACAGTGTTAGAGATACATATGCCTATCACTAAAATGTAAATCTATTTAGTTGTGTCGCTGCAGTGCCACCAAAAACCATAGGGTCTATGGGCTCTATACTCCATATACACTAGTTCTGTAGCCAGTTATTACTGCTGCCCTACCTGACTGCTACAACTGTCTCTGGTTGTCATGACCACATAGTTTCACAGACAGGGCAGGAGGATGAAGAGGAGCAGAGGGAAAAGAGGAAGAGATAATGCATGAGTTTGTTTTGACTCTCACTTTGCCCTTGGTGGTTGAAAATTAGAGGGAGAAGTTAGTTAATGCAGCTTTAAGCTTCTGATTTTGGCTGGCACTGCACCAATAGGGTGTTTTACAGGCTAGCAGTTTGCATTTTGATGTCACCACATGCCCTCTCAGCCTCTTCAGGACAAAGGTCATTGTCCGTTGTTCCACTGGGGCTCTGTGAATGTGTTTTCTCTGGTTTCTCACAAACTTTACTTTTACTGCTTTCACTAGAGGATGAAAAGAAGTGTGCCTCATTACCTATCATGTTTATGTCCAGACTTCTCACACTGCAGCTCCTGAAACTGACAAATAGACCTAAATTCTGACTCAGACTCAGAGATTTGTTTTTCTGTAAAGTGTAATTACAGACAACACACAGAAAAGTCTCCACACTTTGGTCGCTCGTGATGATATAAGTAGAGTGACATTCATGTCAGCTCCCAAATCTCTTTTAATGAACGTGAAAATATATGTTCAGATGTGAACTAAAATAAAGTTGTATGATGAAATGTACGATTTCAAGCGTCAAATGCTGATGTTTGCCATTAAACTATATAGTGATGTTGAAGCACTCTTTTGGTTATGTTTTGTTAATTTGATGTTAGAACAATTTAATGCAGAGATTAATAAAGTACTCCATAAATCTATTTATACATCGGTCTATGTGAATGTCACTTTTGGCTTTTTCTCGTTAGTCACAGCGAATCGTCACACTGACAATTCACATGTTGACATTTGGCACGTGTTTTACACTGGATGCCCTTCCTGATCACTGAACCCAGAGCGCTGCACCCTAACCACTAGTCTGTCAGGGCCCCCTCAGAGCGCACAGCGATGAACAGGGAAGGCCAGGCTATGCAATAGCATGGCCAAAACACTCAGAGGGAGCAGCCCCCTCAAAAGTCTCTCTCTCTCTCTCTCTCTCTCTGTGTGTAACATACTTGGCCAATAAAGATCTTTATCCTGATAGACTGATATGTTACTCTTACCTTAATGTTTTTAAAAAACCATGGAGCTACCAGTGTGCAGAGCTTCTGGTGCAAACATGATTCCCATTCTGTGCAATTAAAGTTGCTCACCTGGTGCATTTATCCAGGTCCCTGGTGCCAAAAGCTTTTTTTGTATGTATATGTAGTATATATTCTATGCATACAGTGCATACAAATGCATGTGCATCATAGCCAGAATATACAATTACTTTGCTATAACAGATTACAGTATGTGATTTATGTCACGGTAGTTAGAAATAAAGGAGCTTCACCGATATATGCATTGTGAATTTAACTATGATATCTGACATGTGCAAAACCCAGCAACCAGAAAAAGTATAGGCAAAACTGATGGTAGAGCAATACAGATTTAAATGTTAAGTTAAGAGATGCCACTTTCAGTAGTTTTCCACAAAGGTAACAGCTGATGAATTAGCTACTTGTAAACTCACATACTGGAGAGCAATATGTTTATTTGTCAAACTATTGCTGTTACATGCAGAAATAGAGTATGTCTCACTGACCCCCTAATGCTAGTGTAACATTTTTTCAGTGAGTACATAGCTATCAACTAGTTGCTTCAGATCTACAGTTAATTACTAGCAGAGCTCCACCCAGCTTTCACCCAGACAGGCTGCATTTCATCTTGTGAACAACAGAATGCTAACGTCTGTGTTTATGAAGCTCAACATGTTTCATTTTTTGGTGAAATTGTCAGAAATTCAATGATATGTTTATTACAGAGGTCCTAGTTAAAGGTGATGTACTGGACTGGGTTACATTCAGAGGTGCAACACAACAAACAGTTTGATCACCTTTATGTGAAGATATTCCATAAAATGAAGGAACTGAGGTGATTTACAAATAGCCCTCACTTTTGCTTTGAGGAGATATTCTGAATCTTTTTTATAATGGAGGTCTATAGTGAGCTGGCACTCTCTCTGGAATTTGCCACTTCATTCAAAAACCATGCATGCTATCACAATAACAATGCCATTTTCTGATTCCTCACAATTTTTGCTACCGTTTTAATGTATAATTTGTGTGTGGAAGCTTAAGGTTAGCAGAATAAGAGCAGAAAACAAGCTATGCTGACTCAGCATCCACACAATTAAATTTGCTGTTGCTTTTGTTTCCCATCAGAGCAAGAATTCTCATTGGGAGCCATGTTAGAACTCATCACTGTATATTCTCTGGTTGGATAGCCATATATTGCTGTTTGCAAGTTAACTCACTGGCTGATTTTTGTATATAAGGCCATTTTAAATTTGTTCTCACACTATCTGTGTGGATTTATTTATTTAGTTTGTGCCTTGTAATATGATCTCAGATCCCAGGACTTTGTGTTCACACTGTCCCAAAGACTCACACTGAATTTGAAAAAAATGCCCTCGAATAGAGCATTGGGTGAATGTTAACCATCAGAGAATTAGAATCTATTGGAAAGTATAATAATTTTTATAACTAGGCCTACTGGGCCTATAAGCTATTGTGTACCCATGTGGCTTTATACAGAATGTCATTTCTGTGTTGATGATGCTCCCTTATAAATGAGATTAGCAACCCCAATGGGATCTAACCTAAATTAAATAATAGCCTACAAAAACAAAAACCAATAGTCTGGTAATAATCTGGCAGAGTAGTTAGTATAGTATCATATTGCAATAGTTGTTAAATAAAAGGCACCTACAAGCAATAGCATCTGAACATTACATTCTGCTGCGCTATTATTGCTTCTCTTGCCTATAGGCAGAGCCTTGAAACTGTGGCACTGCTACTCTTCTTCTTTCAGCTGTTCCCGTTAGGGGTCGCCACAGTGAATCATCCGTTTCCACCTAACTCTATCTTTGGCATCCTCTACTCTCACCCCAGTTAACTTCATGTCCTCTTTTAGCACATCTGTGTATCTCCTCTTTGGCCTTCCTCTTGACCTCTTGCCTGGCAGCTCCATCTCCAACATCCTTCTACCAGAAAAATCCCTTTGTTTTATTCTGGAAAACTTTATGTTTCACACTAGTATTTTATATGCACAACTCCTACACCGTCATCACTCTGAAACTATGAACAACTGCTTCATTATTGGTCTTACTGCCGAACATGTTCCACCACATCAGTCAGGGCTGAGAACACCTTGACTGGGGCATGCTTGGTGACCTTCTGCTCCCATACCAGCTGCTCTAATGGCCTGTGTGATCTGCTGGGTGTGTTTGACTCCCACCTTCACAGCATGTTCTCAGCTGATACCTCAGTCATCACTGACAGACAGAGTCACATGATAGACAAGTGCTGTGTTCTGCTATCATCAGACAGAGTGAAGAAAAGCCAATTGCCTGTGATACTGAGCTTAATGAAGCTGTTTTATTATTAATGCAGTCGTCTGTGTTTCTTATGTTTTCAAAGGTGTTTTTTTTTTCTCCATCAACCCAGAGAAGGGCACTAAAGTGGAGAAGACGAGCACAACTCGTCTTCACGTGAACCCAAGAGTCCTTACTTTGATCCAGGAGCTTTCAGATCACGAGTGGCGTGATGTCTGAATATGGACTAAACACAGTGAGATTTGTGACCCACTCACAATTTAAGATTTTTTTTCCCGGGCGCATTATCTGCTCAGTTCTTCAGGCTGGAGAAGCAAGTAAAAGTCTGACAAAATTGTTGATGTATGTATTCTTACATTTATTAAGAAAACCCACTTGTCCTCAGGAGATTTTTGAGGTCTTCTCCCTCTCTTTATCCATCTGTCCCCTTTCACCTTGAATAAGGTGATCACTAATGTCATTGCTCTCTATTCTAAAATTTGTAAAGTGCATATTACAAATATGTGGAGGAATGACAGACTTTTTGTTCAGTACTTTGAGCTCAATAAAGTCTTGAAAACGTACGTTATTACTTGATTTGTTTATTCTTTTCATATACTATGTGCTAGGTTGACTCTGAGCGGCCAAGAATGTAGGAGACAGACTCGAAAAAGACATCAGGTTTTCTCAAATCAGTCATTTATTTTAAACAAGTGCCAGCAAAGTACACATGCCAAACAAAATCACTAAACAAACTAAATGGTTTAACTTCACATAACTGAAGAAAACTCAACTCAACGCAACTTACAGGCACGTGCACACCACTACACTTAGACTGCCATACTACCAGCTGCTCCACCTCAGCTGATTAAGTAGCTCCTGGTACCAATCAACCCTATGACATCCTTGATGACATCAGAGAGCGTACGAAATGAGGAAGTGATTAACCTAGTAAATACAATCACACATTTAACACACAGGTTAAGGCATTAGGAAACATACATGATTTAGCCTAGGGACAAGTGGAGTGTTCTCACCCACTTTGTCACATACTACCTTTGCTTTTCAGTTTTTAAATGCTTAATCTTTGTACATTGGATTACATCTTTCACATTTCTGGGAAAAGCCAAACACTTGTAAGAAGGTAGTGCAGGTAGTAGTTGTAGTATAGAAAGTGTTTCTATTTACCACTGAACAACAATTGTAACAAGGGGATAGAGAACTACTGTCATACAGTTTCACAATTTTTATTTGAGACTATTATATAGGAGTAATAGAACAAGATTTTATGCTTTCAAACTGCAATGAACACATTTTACAGAGAATTCAATTGCATGATTTAGATGTAAAATTGTCTTTAATACTGCAAAATACATTGTCATAAAGAATTATTGCATAAAATTTTCAGAACAATGCAGTTAAAAGACAGTATTATAATGAAGTATTTACAGTTGAGTTTTGTTGTTTGGTATTTTACAGTGAAATTGAATTAGTTTTCATGTACAATAAGCAACAACTGCATGTAAATCTTACAGCTAATTCAACAGAAAAGGGCAGTTAGATTTACCCATTTAAAATGTCAAATTTGTTTGTAATTTAAAATGGTTTTAAAATTTACAGGTTGTCCTGTAAAGCCCACTCGTATCGCCCTGCGCTCCCCAGGTTATGTGGCGTGGCTATAATAACACTACCAGTAGTGTTATAGCCCACACGTGCTTTACCCAGAGGAGCCCACCTCTGGCTAAAGTCTGTGCTTCGCCCGGGGCAGGCCAGCCCTGGTTGAAACACGGCCTTACCCCGAGAGGTCCACCCCTGGTTAAAGCTGACTTCACCCAGAGGAGTCCACCTCTGGTTAAACTAAATATAGTCATGTGCCTAAATCCAAAAAGACCATTTGAGTGTTCATGTTGAACATGTTGAAGTTTTGTTTTTCCTTTTGGTTTGACTGATTGCATGTGATCAGAGTGACCTAACTTCATCAAGCATCTTAAAGCAGCCACATCAAATTGTACTTAGGTTAGATTTTCCGCATATAGGGATACACAGTTACTACATGAGCTCCACTTAATCTTGATACCTGTCATTCATATTTTCTATAGAAAACACTGTGATTTAGGTGAGAGTAAGCCAAATACATGAAAGAAGAAAGTCTCTTGTTCTTCATCATATACAGGACAGGTATAAAGGAAAATGACTGGAGAACAACCTTTTTAGCTGGCATTGTTTGTTTATTCAATAAGGCACAATGAGCCACAGAAAGTTTGAAAGCATCAACAAGAGGTGATGATACATCACAACAACAACTTGTAGCTACAAGGTACTCTTCTCAGAGAGATTAAAGGAACAACTGTCTTTATAAAAGACAAACAGGACAGGACACAGTTGAGAACACAGTTCTTATGTTACTTTGTAAATTTTCATCCAAACGGATTTAAAATTTTCATTTCATTACCAAAAAAGAAACAATAGTAAAAACTGACCTTACAACAGATCACCTTGTTCTTAAAAATCACAAAATGTAAAAATTACATTATCACTTTAAAACAGTGATGTGAAACCAGCTTTTTACAGTAAAAGGACCAACAGTGATCTTAAAACATCTGTTTCCAGTGATCACATAACATGAGGAAAAGTCCAATTTGACAAAATGTCCATAAAGAGTCAAAGTTTGATCAAAATGATCAATATCAGTCAAAAGGAAACCTATATCACTGTGGCATTATATTTCACTGCTACATGATGCACAGTAAAGCATAAAAGTATCACAGGAAATTTGTGATAGAAAAAGCATAAACATCTGGATCTTACAACAGATCAGTTTTGACTAATCAGAAAGATTAAAGTGAAGTCATGTGACATTTAAAACATTTGATCACAATGATCAGTACCAGTCAAGAGGTAACAAACCATCATAAGCACCAAAGTACCGTAGCATATAAGACTACTAGTACATGAAGTAGAGTGAGGTATAATCATAATTGCTGATGCAATTGGTTGATTCATGCAACATGCATGACAAAATATTCCTTCTTAACTTAAAAGATATTGTTGCTGTTATTTCATTAAATGTCATGTTGGAAAAAATACAATACACAACCTTCTGTTCATACAGAAGAACAAGTCTATGACATTTCAAAGAAACCATTTCAGTGATCTTTGACCAATGTGGTCGCCTCAGTTTGTCTGGTAGTAAGTCCAGTGTGTAGGTGTCTACCACGGCCTCCAGGGGGCGATGTTGACTGGACTCCCCTCTTTGCTGATGCTCTTCTGGACTGTGGAGCTCAGAGGACAGAAGTCTGCCTCTCTCAGGTTCTTCTCAGAGGAAGACTGCAGCTTGTTGAAGTCGCTCAGCAGTAATGTCTGCTGTTGGTTCTGCTGCTGCAGCTGTGTCAGGAAACAAACTGTCATCTCCAGGATGTCTGCTTTCTCCAGCTTGGAGTCTGGCTGCTGTTTGAGGAACTCTGGACCCAGGAGAGACTTGAGCTGCTCAATGCTGCTGTTGATTCGCTCTCTGCGTAACTTCTCCACCAGAGGCTTTCTGAGCTACAGAGAGAAGAACAAAGTCATTTATAAAACCTTTTCTGTTGTAAAGTGTGAACATGAGCACAAACAGCCTCTCATGCATGATGTTTAAGTCTCCTTGAATCTTCAGTTTACCTTGTGGGTCAGAGTCAGGTGCTCCTGAGAACTGGTCATCGCTGCAGTGATTGTAGGGGCCATGTCTGGATCTCTGTGCTGTCCAGGTCTCTGTAGAGAGAATCTGATCTCTGCTGGCTCCATCCCTCCTATTTATAGTCCCACATCTCCATATGAATGTGTGGGTCTTGGTCTAGTTGGACTTTCTCACAGTCTCAGCCAATCAGAGAGCTTGATGACACAATACGGCATGTGGAGCAGCAACATGCTGAATGGTGTTATTGCCCCAGGACAATGGTAAGATCTCAGGGGAACAGGTGGAGGACTGGGGGTGATGGAGAGAGACTCACAGAGCCCTGTGTGAATCTGGGAAAGCGGTGACCCTGGGTACAACATCTAAAAGTTTCATTGCTGTATATGCAATTTACCTAAGCCTTCAAAGTTTTCTTGTAATGAAAGCAGTTATTTGTCAGTCACTGGAAAACAACATTAAATGTCCATCTTTATATTTTTATTTTAAATTTTATACTAGGTTCCTGGTGTCCAGATGTGACAGGTGTGTCCTGTGTATTGTGGTTGAGAGCTGGCATGAGCAGAAAGTTGCTCTCAGTTTCCCACACTCAGTCTTTGATCAGGTCAGTGCACTACATAAGAACATTGAAAGGAGGCTTTGTGATGAATGCTGGTCGTGTGCTGTCATAGAGACAGAGCCTGACGTCATCGGCCATCTGGAGGGAATGGACCCCATTGGCTGACTCTCAAGTTTGGTATTTTTTAAAAATCTAATCATAAAATATATCAAGCTGTATACATCAGCTGTACTAAATTGTTACTCATACATTTAAGGAAATTACAAAACCTGTCAAAATAGAACCTTTTTAAGTAAATATTACAGCTTTATACATGAGAGTGGGAGGATGAACAGCTGGTTGCTGAAGTGTGCCAAATCCCTGTGGACAACAATCGACTGCTGGTAGAGTTAAGGATGCAAATCAAACTGTGACTCACACTTTCTCACACTCTGGTTCATGTTTGCCCTTGTTAGACAGGAGTGACTTTGATAAAGCAGGTTTTTTTGTTTGTTTGTTTGTTACATTTTTTTAGTTGCCTGCAGTAAACTTTTGTGTCTTAGGTTTTTATTAAATATTCTTTAGGTTTCAATTTTGATCCCACCAAATTCCTTGTTAACCTCCCCAGGACAACAGCTGTGATCTGTCATCCCTTCAAGGCTCTGTGAGTGAGTTTTCTCTGGTTTCCCACACTCTCTCCTTTCACTGGTTTCACTTAGTGGATCAATGGATTTGGGTTATTATACTCAATGGCGGTTCTACATTGAATTACTGCCCGGGTGAGACCCCCGTCTGACCGCAATGTCACAGTTTTAAATTCAAGACTTTTACTTTGAAGGGCCGACTCCCGTCCAGTTGAACCAGTCCACCACCAGGACCGTAACAGGAGCAGCTCGGTGCCTGTGGTGTCTGCGGAGCTGCTGTCCACATCCACTCTCATCCAGTCTGCACTGCACTGGGATCACAACATCATGTGATGATCAAACCCGTTAGGCTTTTTAATCCGGCCCGCCGAACTTGTCCACATTATATTATTAAATTATATTATCATTAAACCTCATTTGTTTTGCCTTTTCCCTGCAATGCCCGCGTTTCCCCAGTAGATGGTAGATCACTGCATCATTCAATAGGAATCTCTGTGTAAGTCTGTATTGCAGCTTGATCATGTCGTGAATCCAGTCTTAAAACTTGTTAACTTTATACGAGCAAGGGGACTTCAGCACCGTCAGTTCATTACGTTCCTGGAGGAAACCGGTGCGGATCACCAGGACTTACTTTATCACTCTCATGTCCGCAGGCTAAGTTTGGTCAAAGTGTTTCAACGAGTGTTAGAGCTCAAAGAAGAGATTAGTGCATTTTTTGAGTTAATGGGGAGATCCGAATTTCCTGAGCTGAGCGACAAGAATTGGCTTTGTGACTTTGGGTTTGCTGTGGACATTTTTCACACATGAATGAGCTGAACGTGAAGCTACAGGGGAAAGATCAGTTTGTGCACGACATGTACACAAATGTGAGAGCCTTCGAATCCAAGCTGACTTTATTCTCCAGACAAATTTCAAAAAAATCTTTTGCTCCTTTTCCCACACTAGCCATGCAGAAAGAGGCCACCCGAAATCACTGGACGACCTGGACGGAGAATTCTGCTGTTGGTTTTCTGATTTTGAAAAAAATTGACAAGTCCCCTGTACACACACAGTATAGATAACGGCTTTCATCAAACTCTATTTGACAGTTCTAGGTGAAAGGTTATCCAATCAGAAGCTTTGTCCCACCCCAGAGCCCGAAAAAAGTCACCATGCAACTGTGCAGAATTCAAAAGCCACCGAATGCTTCGCTTCGTGGTGAATTGAAATTATTGTCAGGGTATGTCGGGTACGTGTTTCAGTATACAACCAGCGAGCTGGCCCTGTACCAGCTGAGAGAGGGTGAAACTTTCACTCCGGAGGCGCTGAGGACTCCAATCACGGCGAATGATTGGGGCGTCCTGAGGTGCATAGTGATGGAACATCTCATTGAAAGCTACCAAGATGCTAATGATGAGGAAGAGGATGAGGAGGAGGAGGAGGAAGAGAAGGAGAACCGAGACCCAGCAAATAAGAAAAGACGATATCCTGCAGAACAGCCTGAAAACGCCCGCGACCCGCTGACCAAAGTGATGAGGCAGGGCTAGAGCTTCATGGCTGGCGGCAGCAGCAGCACCCCGCAGGTGAGAGCTGATTCCAGGATCTTTAAAGTCATGTGGGAGACAAATGGCTGCAGTTCGGGGAGATGGTATTACAAAGTTGTGGCGCAAGGGCTAGGGGATAAAAACGGAGTAATGAGTATGTACAGGTTCAACACAGAATGTGGTGTATTTCAGGAGACTCTGAACCTGCGCTGTATGGAGATTTTTAACAGGTGGGGGGACGAGATTACCACGTTATTCCGTGCCAGCCAGCAGTAGCAGGAGATTGTAGTGTTGAAAAAGGTCCTGTTTGCATAACCACACCCCCTGCAAACTTCCAGCCGCCCCCCTCAGCCCTGAAATAAATAGAGATGGAAGTGTTTCAGCAACCACTCCGCTCCAGCGACCAAACTCTTTTACGTTTTTTTCATCAACAATGAATCCTTCCAAGACTGAACCTGCTGCTCCTCAGCCCTCTCCCGCTTCATCCATGGACTCTGAATTCGAATATCTGCTCCAGCCTATAAGCAGCAGCAGCGAAGAGGAGGAAGAGTCGGAGGGGGAGGAAGAGGTGGAGGAGGAAGACAGCAGCCAGCACAGCGATGACAGTAGCCAGAGGGAGGAGGAAGACAACAGTCAGCAAAGAGATGACAGTAGCCAGAGCAGCGCCAGTAGCACCCCGAGCAAGGATAACAATGAGGAGAGAGAAGC